CCTGCCACATGACAGAAGAGATAACTTTCCTAGTGGCCTGGTGCCCACCAATGCCTTGTATATTGGGACCGGGCTCTGTCTTCCACTTCTCATCTTGGATGCTGTATTTGATGTAATGGAAACATCAGCCCTTGTGTCTACTATGCTTTTAACAGGAGTACTGTCAAGCATAATAGTCATTCTGGGTTTGGTTCCAAATGGGTAACATCTAGCGAATTTGCAGGCGTCTGTTCCCTCTTACTGGTGGGGCTGAGAGTTGCCCCAAGGGGAGTTTAAAGGCTAGAGTTTGCAGTCCTTTTCCCAGTGATAACCCTTTTTGCATCTAGGGCAGGGTGTCTTGGGGCCAGGGTGGCTGCCATTCTTGGGACAGTACCATTTAATGTGGCCTGGCTGATTACAGCCCCAGCAAATGGGATCAGATCTTGGTTGGGAAGGTCCATTGTTCTTTTTTATTAGTAGCTTGTTGATAGCAGCTGTTAAAGCCTGAATAGGCCCCGAGAAAGGGGATACTTCTTTAGTAGCAGAAATTCACTTAGAGAGGGATTCACTGCGGACGGGGGCAATTGCAGCCCTAGTTTCGGCTGTAGCCCCTTCCCATACCAACTGTTTGACTATCAAATCTTGAATAGGGCCAGGTCGGGATGCCTCAATGACTCGGGACAAAAAGTCGGGAAACCACTCAATGGGGACTCTGGATTGAGTTTCTGAAGAGTTCATATTTTGGAGGTGTAATGTTTTAAGACTCTTCAGGTTAAAGTAAATGACATTTCCAATTCTGGATTGTTCTTAAGGACTCATATAGGCACGCGACCAGTCAACATGTCTAGGGTAATGGTGATGTCATAGGAGAGGTTGCTTCTTGCTATTTTTTCTGCCTCCTCCTCGAAGGGAGCTTTCCACTGTATATATTGTGGACAAGTTAAACATTCCTTGAGGAGATTCATCCAATCAAAGGATGTTTGCAGTTGAGCTGACCATTGCTATTACACCTCCTCAAAGTAAGGAGAGCCAGGCTCAGACTCCTGAGAAGCCTTTCTCAGTAATGCTAGATCTGGTAAAAGAGTAAGTACCAGGGTCTATTTTCTGCGTTGCAACCGAGATTCACTGGGTAGGTGGAAAAGGGGTTATGAGAGGAATAGTGGGGTTGATAAGGGGCCGAGGGCCTTAAAGGGTGTCTCTTCTCGGAGCAGGAGTGTAATTCTTTCCATGAATATTTTGGAGACAGGGAGGTGGACAAGGGAACAGAGATTGCCGGATGTTGTGAAACGTCAGGGTCATCCTCGAGGCAGAGGCCTGGAGAGTCATTGTTTTGTCCTCCAAAGAGTCATTATGCTTTTGAATGATATCTTCTGCTAAAGAACCTTGAAGGCTGGCAATGATGGCTAGAAGAATCGGTATGAAAGAGGCAGGGGGAATGTGTCCCTCATGGGAAAAATGTGTCCCTTTTTCCTTGCAGATATAAGACTTTCATTCAAATTTGTGGATCCCTATGGTTTCGGGGCCAATCCAGGGTGCTAAATAGACAGCTTCCTGCCAGAAGTGATTGATATCTTTTGGTTTCACTTTAAGTCCGTGCTGAGAAAGCAGTGCTTTCAGAACTGCTAGTTGTGGGGGGTACGGTGGGAATGTTGCCCTGACTGGTTAGTGGGCTTATTAGAGGCCTCCTGGAGTCTCTCAAATATGAATGAAGCCACACTAATAACCCCCTATAAGGATCAAGAACAGGAACCAAAAACAGGAACCCAAGGGGATGGTTCAGACATAGAAGTCCCTGGAAAGGACAAACAAGAGTGTGTTTAGGATCCAATGTCTTGTGATTAGTGGGAGACTTCCTTGACTTGCTAGGTCAAGGCCATATGCCCATATGGTGTCTCCTGAGGGAAGTTCTCTTTAACAGAGAAAATCAAGGTTCCAAATTCTGGGAGGATCAGTCCCTTATGTGAATTCCTGGGTGAACCAAGGGGGAAGGAAGAGCTATAAGGTGACGCCAACCTTTATGGTAGTGTGTGCCTCAACTTGGGAGCCAATGCTCGACAAGGACAAGGAAAGGGGTTAAGAGGGTAAGAGCAAGGAAAAGGTGTTCCTTGTTCACCTTCAAGGAACCGTCAGCACATAAAACAGGGAACAGGTCCCTACCCGAGGTCAACCGGGGGCCAGCCCTGAGGTGCACGGGTGTGAGCAGACATTGGGTGCCAGATGTTGCTGTGGGTCACTCGGCTACCTCAGTTGCGGTGGGTGTGGGGGACACAGAGTCAAAACACAGACACCAGGAGCTGGTGAGAGCAGGTAGGTGGCAGACCTCAGCCGACCTCCAGCAAGCTTGTTTAATGCAGAAGTGATTACAATTGATGGGCGCATCCTCCAGTCATACATAGGCAAACAGGTTATATAACATTTAGAAACTAATCATCTTATGATTAATGTAACTGCACTATGAGGAAGCTCTAAATATTGCTACACGGTGGAAAGCAGACTGGTAGGGTCATTGTCCCTATGAAAAGGGGGCGTTATGAGTTGGGGGAATCATGCCCTGAGGCCCTTGTCTCTTCTCTGTTCCCTGGCAACTCCGACCTCAATCTCTGAGGCTCGCTAGAGCAGAGCGCCTCATCCTGCAGGTGTTCCTGTCAGGCCTGTAGGAGCATAAGTTTTCCTAGCACTTGGAGCTGCTCGTAGTTGTGAGTTGCAAACTGAAAGTTACTCCCACAACATTTCTCACAGAAATAGAAAAAGCAGTCATGAAAATCGTGGAAAAATAAGAGACCCAGAATAGCTAAAGCAATCCTTAGCAAGAAGAGTGAAGCAGGTAGCATCACTATACCAGACCGTAAACTATACTACAGAGCAATAGTAACAAAAACAGCATGGTATTGGCACCAAAATAGACTAGTAGACCAGTGGTACAGAATAGAGGACACAGAGACTAACCCACATAATTATAGTTATCTTATATTGGACAAAGGTGCCAAAAACATGCATTAGAGAAAAGATAGCCTCTTTAACAAATGGTGCTGGGAAAACTGGAAATTCATATGCAACAAAATGAAATTAAACCCCTATCTCTCACCATGCATTAAAGTGGATTGAGGATTTAGGAATTAAACCAGAGACCCTGTGTAAAACAGAAGAAAAAGTAGGCCCCAATTTCCATCATATCAGATTAGACCCCTACTTCCTTAATAAGACTCCCATAGTGCAAAAATTAAAATCAAGAATTAATAAATGGGATGGATTCAAACTAAAAACTTCTTCTCAGCAAAGAAACAATCAGGGAGGTGAATAGAGAGCCTGGGAGCAAATATATACCACTTGCACATCAGATAGGGCACTAATCTCCAGGGTATATAAAGAACTCAAAAAGCTAAACACCAAAATAACAAATAACCCAATCAATAAATGGGCCAAGGAGCTGAACAGACACTTCTCAGAAGGTGATATATAATCAATCAACAAATATATGAAAAAAGGTTCAACATGTCTAGCTATTAGAGAAATGCAAATCAAAACTACTCTAAGATTTCATCTCACTCCAGTCAGATTGGCCGCTATTAAGAATACAAACAACAGTAAGTATTGGTGAGAATGTGGGGAAAAAGGCATGCTCATACATTGCTGGTGGGACTGAAAATGGTGCAGCCAATATGGAAAGCAGTATGGAGATTTCTTGGAAAACTTGGAATGGAACCACCATTTGACCCAAATATCCCAATCTTTGGTCTATACCCAGAGGCTTAAAAACAGCACACTACAGGGATACAGCCACATCAATGTTTATAGGAGCATAGTTCACAGTAGCTAAACTGTGGATCCAACCTAGATGCCCTTCAGTAGATGAATGGATAAAGAAAATGTGGTATATGTACACAGTGGAATATTACTCCGCAGTAAAAGAGAATAAAATTATGACATTTACAAGTAAATGGATGGAGTTGGAGAATATAATGCTAAGTGAAGTTAGCCAGTCCCAAAAAAACAAATGCTGAGTAGTAGTATGCTGGTAGTGCACTTGCCTAGCACGTGTGAGTGTTTTCTCTGATATAAGGAGGCAGACTCATAGTGGGGTTAGGAGGGGAAGCATGGGAAGATTAGACGAACTCTAGAGAGGACAAAGGGGTGGAAGGGGAAGGGAGAGGGCAAGAGGTATAAAAAAGATGGTGGCATGAGATGGACATCATTACATGTATGAAGACATGAATGGTATGATTATACTTTGTATACAACCAGAGATATGAAAAATTGTGCTCTATATGTGTAATATGAATTGTAATGCATTCTCCTGCCATATATAACAAATTATAATTAAAAAAATAAAATTAAAAGGAAAAGAATATGGATTTAAAATATCTTTTCAATAAATGGTACCAAATTGTATTTTATGACCAGATTAGAATTACTAGACTTATAATGAGCATGTTATTAAAAATCTAGACTGTTTCACCTAATTCCAGTATAAACTTTTCCCCCCTAAATAACATAAAGTTTGGGCTAGGGTTGTGGCTCAGTGGTAGTGCGCTTGCCTAGCATGAGTGAGGCACTGGGTTCGATTCTTAACACCACGTATAAACAAATAAATGAATAAAGGTCCATCAATAACTAATAAGAATTTTTTAAAAATAAAGTTTACATAATCAACCAAATATTCTTAAGAACAAGTCTGTAGCTGGGCGTGGTGGTGCACACCTGTAATCCCAGCAGCTCAGGAGGCTGAAACAGAAGGATTGGGAATTCAAACCCAGCCTCAACAATTTAGGAAGGCCCTAAGCAATTTAGGGAGACCCCATCTCTAAAATATAAAAAAAGGGATAGAGATGTGGCTTTCTTTTTTTCTGGTGCTGGGGATTAGAACCCAGGCCTTGTGCATGTGAGGCAAGCAGAGTCACTGTTTCTGTGCCAAATATTATAATAGCTATCATAGTTAGTCAAAAACTATGGGAAATCCACTGTTTGTTTTACTGTTATATTTTATCTACTATATAAAAATATTTTTGCCTTTTATTTCTAAGGGATGAAAGTCCAATGAAAGCAAACTTCCTTCAAAACATGGTAGAAGACAGAACAGAATCTGCGTTATCATATTATGAATTCCTCTTGCATATTCAGCAACAAGTAAATAAATGAACAAATGAAGAAATTTGACTTAGTTATTGCTAAGGAAATCACAAAGCAGAATTCCTGGGAATGTGTAATACCTTCCTTTTCTATTTTAATTTGTAAACTAATGTGATGATTAAGATGTTTTCACTGTGATTTCAACAAACTATAGCAAATAAAGGACTACAGCAGAGACTCAAACATAAAACTCTGAAAATACTGTATTTTTCAAATCAAAATATATCTACATATGATTGGATACCTTTTTTCCTTTGCTGCCAATTATGTTCAAGTTGTTACAGATTGAAATAAGGAAAAGATATTATAGAGGTAAAGTACATTTTGTAAAATAAAGACTTCTGTGTTCCACATGTATATTTTTTATTTTTCTGAGTTTTTGGCTGCTACATTTAAAACCTCATGAGACTACGTGTTGGAGGGAAGTTATGAATCCATTAATAATGATCTTTTTACAATTGGGAAATCCAAAAGTAAATAGAATGTAGAAGAGCTAGAATTCCATACCCCATACTGTTTTGTTTTATTTTTAAAGAAAAGTATCATCATGTTAAATTAAACAGGCAAACTAACTGTAGTCTATCTTGAGAAGAATATGAAGTAACACATTCAAGCTTTAAAATCTGTCAGTATTCTCTATACTTGAAGAACAAAATCACTTTGATTTGAAGTGAAAGATGTAATTAGGTGGTTCTCTGATTTGGCTGCAGATGACTTGGACATACTGTTTTCTTTGCAATGAAAAGAATTTGAGCTGTCTTCATAAATATTGGGACTGGCAATGATAATAGGGAAATGAGAAATTTAGTTATCTTGATCCTTTAGGTGTGCTTTTATTTGGTACATTTCTGCTCCGTGATATATAATAAAAGTGCTTTTCTGGTGAAATGAGGATGAATGAAAGAAGTTAAAGGTTTCTAAAATGTTATGTCAAATGCATCAGTAACATTTTTCTAAGAAGTTTGATAATTAAATTGGGATATTATTATTCTGGGATATTAAAACCTATTAAAGCATGAATGCTGCTGTTTGATTTGGTGAATATTAAGATTACACAAATCCAATATATTGAAGTTATAAAAGAAACTTGGTTGCTGAACATGCTCAAAAGACTGCTTTTTTGATTCAGCTAGAGAATATAATCAAAACTTACTGAGCAGATTTTGTTTACAAACAGGTAAATTACATCTGTGTATTTACAGTGCTGTGATATAATTAATATCTTTAAGAGTTTGGCTCAGTTTTCACCGATTCATCTTGTCTCGTATGAACTTCTTAAAAAGATAATGTACATGTATAATACTTGATGAAAAGACTTTTGGTTTTTGTTTTAATAGGTTACAAAATGTGTTTACAATCTTGGTCTTACATGATCACCAATGAATAGTAACTTTCAGGTTTACATCCATGTGGGCTGACTTAACTGAATTGTTTGGTGTGGGGAAGAAGCAAATCCCTCTAGAGTACACAACTACTACTTGCCAGCTGGATTAGAATAATTGTGTTTATGAAAATACCATCTCTTTAAGCAGTGTTAAGATTCGTTTTCAACCTGGGTGCGGAGGTGCATGCCTGTAATCCCAGCAGTTTAGGAGGCTGAGGCAGGAGGATCTTGAATTCAAAGCCAGCCTAAGCAAAAGCTAGCTCAGTGGCTGAGTGTCCCTGAGTTCAATCCCTGGTCCTTCCCCTCAACACCCAGCCTCCCGCAAAAAAAAAAAAAAAGAATCATTTTCAGTGTGCAAGTGGTACATTGAATTGGAAGGTTTCTTGAAAGCTCTTTCTTTTGTTAGGAAGCAATTTTTAAATTACAGCAAATTAAATTTATATTTTCCCATCTTTTTAAGAAACCGTCATTACACACTGATGTTTCTTAAAAGAACTAATTTTTTTACATTTTAAGAAATTAAATGAATTATTCATTTAATGTAATTTTAAACTTTTACATTTATAAGTTCTTTCTGAATAGTAATGAAAAATCTTCCAGAAGGAAACATTTGTGCTTCTAGGGATAATCTTCCTTGTGCCTCACTACATCCCTAAGTGGATATGACTTGTGTTATTACCACATACTTTGTTAGTGTATTTCAAGAATTTACTTTGAAAAATTATTTTAAATATTGTGTAACATGCAATTCAGAATAATTTTATAACAGGTCATAAAAAAACACATAACTTTAGTTAGGATTCACAATATTTGTTCTCCAGGATTCACAATATTTGTTCTCCAGGTAATAAGAGAATGAATGAAACTTTTGGGAATATTGATATATAAAACAATTATTCTTTTGCAATATGAATGTGTTTTTTAGTTAGTTTTTTTTTTGTTTGCAGTAAGGCACTATCTGCCATTATCATCTTGTATTACTTTTTGATGTAAAGCAACTAATATTTACACTATACCATATTTTTTTTATTGTAGTTGTAAATTATGAAAGATCCTTGAATTTTCTACAGATCTACAACTACTAAAGTAACAGACAAGGGCAATCTTGGTATATAAATCTGAGCATGACAGTTCTACCATAAAAAGTACTCTATTTTTCTAATTTCTAGAATTTTTAAAATAACATTTCTGTAAGTCTGACATACTAATATTCACTCAAGCAGTACCATTTATTTTAGTTTGCATATGTCTTCATTGTTTTTAATTTAATGTATTGAGTCTAATAGACTGTTTTGCAATAATTAGAATAAAAGATTTATTTCTTCTAATCAAAGATGCATAACAGCTATTATCTAGGGGACCACCAAATGTGATTTTGAGATTTTGTTAGCTATTACAAATCTAATCCTTATATAGAAATTTTAATTTTGTAAAGTAGTGTATAATATTGTAACATTCAATTCTTGTTCTCAATTCAAATATGTATTGATCTTCAATGTGCTGTGTTACATCTTGCTTCTCTAAAATGTTAGAGACAAGATTTGTCTTCCTTTTTACAGTTTGTAATTTTCACTGTTTTATTCCTGTAAAAAAAAAAAAAAAGAAAAAGTCATTTGTAACCCATGCAAACAATTGTTTGATCTGTGCTAACTTATCAATTTGACTATTCAATAAAGTTAATTGAAAGAGCTTACAAACAGTGACTGGTTATTTTAAATGATAGGAAACAACTTGCCAATCACTGAGCAGGGCTATGTTGTGTATCCACATTAAATCACTGGAAAATTATTGCTAGAAAATTTTAAATCTCCTAAGTCGGTGTCTGTGAAATTATACACTGAATTTTTGGTGCTCACTATACAAGGATAGCTAGGTTTCAAATTCCAGATTGAAAGTTGTTTTTTCTTGGATATTGTCAACATATTGCTTAATTGTCTTGTGGGTCCTTCTATTCCTGAAAAGAAGATAACTGATAATCTTATCTGTTAGCTATTAGGAGTTTTATCCCTTTTTTTTTTTTAAAGAGAGAGGAGAGAGAGAGAAAGAATTTTTAATATTTATTTTTTAGTTATTGGCAGACACAACATCTTTGTTGGTATGTGGTGCTGAGGATCGAACCCGGGTCGCACACATGCCAGGCGAACACGCTACCGCTTGAGCCACATCCCCAGCCCAGGAGTTTTATCCTTAACGTTCTATAGGTTTATTATTCTGGGCTTATTATTTACCCTGTTTGTTATTCAGAACAAACTTGAATCTGAAGTTCCATGTCTGTTTTTAATTTGAGAAAATTCCCATCCATTTGCTTTTTTTTTTGGGGGGGTACCAAATTTCTTTATTTGAAGGAATGGTACAAATTAAAGAACATAAGTGGATGTTTTGGTACAACTTATAGAAAAGGTAAAGGTAACCCCAATATGCATGCACTGCCTTGGTGACCAGGGAAGTCACTTGCACGGCTATGGGAAAGTCAGGCTGAGAGCCATTTGCTTTTAAATATTTGCTTCTATTTTTTTACCCCCAGAATTCTTATTTGACATTTGTTTTCACTAATTCTTTTTTTGCATTGGGGATTGATCCTAGAGAGAACTTCATACTAAACTACATCCCTAGCCCTTTTTATTTTTTTATTTTGATATAGGGTCTGATGAAGTTGCCTTGAAATTTAGACCCTCCTGCCTCAGCCTTCTGAGTCACTGGGATTATATGCATGTGCCACCATGCCCAGCTCACTTAATTTTTTATGCGAAATCTGTTTAAGATTTGTATCTGCAGTTTATATGAAATTATTATTATTAGCCTCTCTAGAAAGTGCTAGGTTTAGCCAAGTGTGGTGGCACATGTCTGTAATCCCAGCGATTTTGGAGGCTGAGACAGGAGGATCACAAGTTCAAAGCTAGTCTCAGCAATTTAGGGGAGGTCCTAAGCAACTTAGCAAGACCCTGTCTCAAAAAAAGGGGGAGGCTGGTGATGTCACTCAATGGTTAAGAACTCCTGAATTAAATCTCCAGTACCAAAAAAAAAAAAAAAAGAAAGAAAGAAAGTGCTAGGTTTAAATGAAAATATGTAATACATTGGAAATACCAAGTTTTAACACTTAATTGTAAAAGAAAGTTTTCTTTAAATGTATAGCAAGTTTGGATACCTCAGCGCTAGACTTAAAGCAAAGTGGTACATTTAAAAACAATAATTTTAAAAGGCTGAGTTTGCCCATGGAAAGCCTATGGTGGTAGAGATAGAAATTACTGCAAGAATAAAAAGTATGCACATTTATTAATGAATTACACATTAGTGCCAGGAAGACCAATCACATGACATTCTTTATTCAAGAATCACTGGGAAGTACCAGGATAATCAGTGAACTACAGAAAAATAGTCCTTCAAAATAAATAAGCATGGAATATGAAATCTGGATTCTTTAAACTCTTACCTGACTAAATGAGTGATCATACATCAACACATCTATTTATTCATCTATCAACACATCTGGTTTTTGTAGGCTCCCAAACCCACAAATCTCGTTTACCCTGGAATCGAATCTGTTTTTAAAGGAAAAGAGCAACCATGGGTGTGTAGCTCAGTAGTAGAGCACTTCCCTAGCACATGGGAGCTTCTAGGTTCAATGCCCAGCACCAAAAATAAGGGGATTTTGTCTTTTGTTTACTTTTGGTACAGGAGATTTAACCCAACGTTGCTTTACTACTGTGCTACATCCCCAGCCCTTTTTGTTTTTTATTTTGAGAGGCTCTCACTAAGTTGCTTAGGGGCTTCACTAATTGCTGAGGCTGTCCTTGAACTTGGGATCCTTTTGTCTCAGCCTCTAGGGCCCCTGGGATTACAGGTGTGCACCTCTACGCCTGTCAAAAATAAGGGGATTTTGGGCTGGGATACAGTTCAGTGGCAAAGTCCTGGGTTTGATCCCCAGTTCCAAAAAGGGTGGGGGAGAGGTTAAAAAGGAGATGTAGCTGGATGTGGTGGTGCACATCTATAAATAAATCCCAGCAAATAAATCTCAAGAGGCTGAGACGGGAAGATCACAAGTTCCAGACCAGGCTTAGCAATTTAGCAAGACTCAAAAAATAAAAAGGACTGGAGATGTGGCTTAGTGTGTAAAGTACCCCTGGGTTCAATCCCCAGAGCCAAAGTAAAGGGGAAATGCATATTGTAACTTGCATATTTATGAGCTTATACTTTCATCCAGTTTGTGATTATTTCCTTCAGACACTGATTACCGACAAGAGGAGACTGGACCTCTCTGAATACAAATTTCTTTTGTTTCTTTTTTTTTTTAATGTCTGGAATTATTTTTTTAATTTGTTTTTTGTGGTTGTAGATGGACAGCATATATTTATTTTATTTATTCATTTTTATGTATTGCCGAGGATCGAGCCCAGTGTCTCACACATGCTAGGAAAGTGCTCTGCCACTGAGCTACAGCCCCAGCCCCAGCCCCGAATATGAATTTCTTAATAATTAAACCTTTCTCACCTGGTGGCGGGGGTGGGGGGGTGTTGTGGCTCAGTGATAGAGCACTTGCCTAGCATGTGCAAGACATTGGATTCGATCCTTGGCACCACATAAAAATGAACAAATAAAGGTATAAAAAAAGTTGTATCTGTTTTTAAAAAGTACTTAAAAATAAACCTTTCTCATTTCAGATATTCACTTAAACATTACAAAGAAACTTTTAAAATAATTAATGCTAGTTTGAAGGTTTGCAACCCAGGGATTGAAGAAAAACACTACTCCTTAAATTTTTAAATTTAAAATAGAGATAACTGGTATGATTCTGAATTAGTTGAGAATTATTTTTCTGAAGCGATCTTACTGTGTTGCACAAGCTACTCAAGCCACAGAACCTGTCTTGAAACTTTTAACACTATTTTTTTGGGGGAAAGGAGGCATGGAACCAGGGCCTCACACATGCTAAACATGTGCCTTACCACTGAGCTACATCCCCAGCCCCCTGAGTTTAACATTTACAACTAGCTAAGTAGCTGGTGAAAATGACTGATGAAGAAATGAACAACCAATATATTGGTAAAACTAGAAAGTCCATCCACAATCAAAGAACTTGCTTTTCAAGTGTTCCTCCTTTCCTTGTTCGTGTGCATATGAACTATGTACACACATAAATCATAGTGAAAGTTTGATTTTGCTTTATATATTATACATGTTGCTTTATCATTGTTAATGTTTGACTAATAGCCCATAATTAGCTATTTAATAAGTACTCATCTCCCAGTATTGGAAATTCTAAGGTTTCACAGTTTTTCACAAAACATTTTATGCCAATAGTTTCTTTTTCCTTTTTTTTTTTTCCTTTGGTACCAAGGATTGAACCCAGGGGATCTTTACCACTGAGTCATGTCCTCATCCATTTTTAGTTTTTATTTTAGGACAGGGTCTCACTGAGTTGTTGAGACTTGAATTTGCAATCCTCTGTGCCTCAGCCTCTGGAGTTGCTGGGATTACAGGCATGTGCCACCACATCAGGCAGTTTTTTCCTTCTTGTTAATAATTATGTTAAATTTTAAGTGGTCACTAAAAAAATAAATAAATAAAATTATTTGGTTCCAAGTACATAATTGTGACAATGCTAATTTACACCAGCACACCATCTGTGTTAGCTTTTCATCATGATATGGTACATGATTTCATTCTCATAAATGGAGACTCTTTCTTAAATTTTGGTTAGAATTAATTGGTATCATAACTAGCACTTCTTCCAATTTTGTTTCTCCATGGTGATACCAAACTAAATCATTTAGAAGGATGAGATTTGTTGTAATTCTGACTGTTATATGTAAGGGAACATGCAAAACAATATTGCCTGAAACAGTGCATCAATACATCTAATCTGTGAAAAAATGTGGTGCAATATGTGTAAATTATTCTTAATTTCTGTTTTTTTTTTTTTCCTTGAGAATTAAGACTATGCGGCCCAAGCTGTTCTTGAATTTGTAAGCTCACAAAAGTCTCCCACCTCAGCCTCCCCATTAGGCGAGACTAGAGTCCTACACCACCATACCTGGCCCTACAAATTTTTCTTAAGGCACCATCTGGAGTTCGGAGATCTAGATTTGTGCAGATACACAGGGGAAACTTTTCCAATATTTTAGAAATTATCAACTAAAGACAATTCAAGTATTAATACTTTAAAATTAACTAGGATTTAACTTTCAATCAAGGGTGACATTTGTACACACACAAACACACACACACACACACACACACACACACACACACAGCCCCTATACTGGGACTGAACCCAGAGATGCTCTACCGCTAAATTCCATCCCTAGCCATTTTTCAAATTTTGAGACAAGGTCTCACTAAGTTGCTGAGACTGGCCAAGAACTTGAACTTCCGATCCTCTTGCTTCAGCTTCCCAAAGTAGCTACAATTACAGTCGTGTTTCACCATACCTGGCTCCGTCATCTTATTCTTTGTTGAGCTCCTTCTGTTGCTGAATCCAAAAAAGGTCTTCTTTTTCTCCACTTCTTTCCTTATATAAACGCAATGTTTCCATGCTGAGAAACGGAACCCAGGAATCAGGCACACAAGATAAATGCTCAACCACTGTGCTTCCTAGCTTCCTGATGTCAGGGTTTCTTTGTAGGGAGCCCAGTAGGCTGCTTCACCATCTGTTAGCTTTTCATCATTGTGACATAAACAACTTAAAAGAAGGAAAGATGTATTTTGGCTTATGGTTTCAGTCCGTGATCACTTGGCCCTTCCCTTTGGGCCTTTGTTGAAAAAGAACATCGTGGTGGGGAGCCGGAGAGGAAAAGGGGATGCGGAGGAGTGAAAGGGAGAGAAGGGAGTCCAGGACACACAACCCCCTGTGACCCACCTCCAGAAGTTTCCACCACCTCCTGTTAAGCCTACCAGCTGGGGGCCAGGCCTTACTGTGTGTGTGTGTGTGTGTGTGTGTTTTGCTGGTGATTGAACCCAGGACTTTGTGCATGCTAGGCAAGCACTCTACCAACTGAACTATTTCCTCAGTCCCTACATCAAACTTTTCCCATGATTTTTTGCAAGGGAAGGAGTGAACTTTTCCCATGATTTTTTGCAAGGGAAGAAGCACAGGTCCCAGACGGATGGTCAGAAGAGTTGTTTATCTTATTTTTGTGAAGGTCAGTGAGTTTCCAGACCCTGAGAACCTAAAAGAAAACAAATGATCCAAAAAACCCTGTTGATCCATGTTCGGCTTTTGTAATGGCCAATTTTTGCTACGTGCTGTCCTCTCATCAATTCAGGTATGACCTTTCCCATGGGATGGGACTTGGGAGTGGTGAAGCACTTTGGAGTTTAATCAGGCAAGAGGAAGGAAAGGAAACAAATCTAAGACTGGGGAAAGAAATTAACTTGTGCTGGAAAGATTTTTCTTTAGCCCATTACATGGCTCCATTGTGAGGCCCCATTGTTTTTGGAACTGCAGCAGTGGACAAAACAGTGCTTGCCTTCATGGAGCTTGCGTTCCAGTTGGCGAGAAACAGAGAAAACTAGTATATTTAGCAGGTGAAATGGTTATAAGCACGAAGAAGAAAGTAAGATGGAGAAGGGCACTAGGGAGTGTTAGCAATTTAGATAGAATAGGCACGCAAGCTTCAATAGGAAAGTTTCCTTTGAAACAAAAATACGTGAAGAAACCCTAGGAACAACCAGGCGTGCACTGGGAAAAAGTGCAGCTGCGGATGGGAATCGGCACCAAGAAAAAGACCCGGCGCAAAGCTCCCGGAAGCGTCTCTCTCGAACTGTGTATTTTCCCGGGCTCTGAGCGAGAAGGCAGATCTGGAGACAACCGCCTTGTCGCAACAGCCTCCATTTTACTTCCTGGCAAAATACAAAATGAACCCGCTTCTCACTGGCATCTTTTTCCTGTCAATCAGGGTGCCGATTCTATTCACCTCCGAGGGAACACAGAAAGGATCCGTTCGCGGATAAGGGGTGAAGTGAGGCTCAGCCAAAGCCGGGAAGGACCCAGCATCTGGCTCTACCCTCACTCAAGATGGCAGCCAGAGCTGAGTGCGCGGCCTATCCGAGCAGGGCGCATGCTCCGTGGGCGGCCACGGGCTCCCGCGCAGCGGATCGACCTGGAAGAGGTGGCTTGGAGTCGCGGCACCTCCCTCTTCACCCCCAAGGTCGCTGCCGCTCCTCGTGTACGATGGGAAGGACGGAGCCAATAGCCTTAGCTGCTGCCAGTGGGGAAAGGCCGGGTTGCGAGCCTGTGGGCTTCTTAGTGTCAGGATTGGAATTATTAATGATCAGCAATTCTGCTTCTGGGTATATGACCCAAAGAATTCCTGAATGTATGGTGCCCAAGAGACATTTGTATACCCATGTTCATAGCATTATTTAAAGTAGCTAGAAGGTGGAATTAACCCAAATGGCTGTCAATGGGAGATAAGTGGTATATACATATAATGGAATATTATATGTATATATAATATTCCATTATATGTATATATGGAATATTATTCAGCCTTTAAAAGGAAGGAAACTCTGCAATATGCTACAGCATTGATGAACTTTGAAGATATTAGGCCGGAGTGAACAGAGTGGTCACAAAAAAGACAAATACTGGGCTGGGGCTGTGGCTCAGCGGTAAAGCGCTCGCCCCTGGGTTCCATCCTCAGCCCCACATAAAAGAAAACAAAGGTATTGTGTCCAACTAAAAATAAATATATTAAGAAAAAGACAAATGCTGCAAAGTTCTACTTAATAAATTGCCAGAGACTGTAGGAAAAGGAGAATGGCAAATTATTGTTTAGTGTGTGTAGAGTTCCAGTTTTACCTGGGCTAGGGATGCAGCTCAGTGTTAAGAGTGCTTCCCAAGCATGCCCTTGCTCCTGGTTCAGTCCCTAGCACTGCAAAACAGAAATTCTTTTTTAAAGAATTATGGAAATTGGGCTGGGATTGTGGCTCAGGTAGAGCGCTTGCCTGGGGTGGGGTGGGGGTGGGGTTCTGATCCTCAGCACCACATAAAAGTAAAGGCGTTGTGAAAAGGCATTGTATTGTGTCCATCTACACCTAAAAAAAAAAAAATGTTAAAAAAAATTATGAAAATTGGCCTGGCGTGGTGGCAAGACGCTAACACCAGAGAATCACCAGTTCAAAAGCAGCCTCAGCAAAAGCGAAGCACTAAACAACTCAGTGAGACTCTGTCTCTAAATAAAATACAAAATAGGACTGGGGATTTGGCTTTGTGGTCAAGTGCCTTTGAGTTCAATCCCTGGTACCCATCCCCCAAAATAATTGTTTTTTAAAAAGCTGGGCACAGTAGTGCATCCCTGTAATCCCAGAGGCTCAGGAGATTGAGGAGAAATTGCAAGTTCAAAGCCAGCCTCAGCAATTTAGTGAGACCTTGTCTCAAGATTTAAAAATGAATGAATGAAAGAACTGGAGGTGTGGCTCTGTAGTTAAACCCCCCTGATTCAATCCTCATTATAAAGAGGGGGGAAAATGATGGTAAATGTTTATGTTATATGTACCTTACCTTACCACAATTAAAAAAAAAAAGTTTAAAAATCAGTTGGTCAGGGCTGGGGATGTGGCTCAGGCAGTAGCGCGCTCGCCTGGCATGCGTGCGGCCCGGGTTCGATCCTCAGCACCACATACCAACAAAGATGTTGTGTCCACCGAGAACTAAAAAATAAATATTAAAAATTCTCTCTCTCTCTCTCTCAAAAAAAAAAATGAGTTGGTCAGAAATGTATGGATTTTTCTATGGACTCTATTTTATTTCATTGATCTCCATGGCTGACCTTCTACCAGAATCACATTTATAGTCACTACTGTAATTTTACAACAAATTTGGAAATCATAGTGTGTGGGGCTTCAAACTTTGTTCTTATTAAATATGTTTGTTATTCTTGGTTCCTTGAATTTCCACTGAATATCAGGATTAGCTTGTCAAAACTGAGCAAGTATACTAGATGGGATTTTGACAAAGATTGCATTGAATCTGTAGGTTGATATGAAGAGTATTACCATCTTAATAACATTAAAGATCCATGAACACAGAATGGTTTTCCATTATTTAGAGCTTTAATTTCTTTCAATAATGTTTTGTTGGTTTTGGTGTTCTACATCTTGTACTTCTTTTATTAAGTTCTTAAGATTTTATTATTTTTATTCTAAGTGGACTTGTTTTTTTAATCATTTTTGCACTGTTAATTGCTAGTGTATAGAAATCCAATTGATTTTTTATATAGATCTTTTTTTCCTGTAATCTTATTTATCAGTTTTAATAGTTTTTTAATTGGGTTCTATAGTTGTTGTTTTTTTTTTTTTTTTTTTAAGAGAGAGAGAATTTTAACATTTATTTATTTTTTCTTAGTTCTCGGCGGACACAACATCTTTGTTGGTATGTGGTGCTGCTGAGGATCGAACCCGGGCCGCACGCATGCTAGGCGAGCGCGCTACCGCTTGAGCCACATCCCCAGCCCAAGTTGTTGTTTTAATATACAAGATTATGTCCTGCCAGGTGTCATGGTGCACACCTGTAATCCCAGCAGCTCTGGAGGCTGAGACAGGAGGTTTTTGAGTTCAAAGCCAGCCTAGGCAACAGGAGGCGCTAAGCAACTCAGTGAGACCCTGTCTCTAATAAAATACAAAATAGGGCTGGGGAGGTGGCTCATTGGTTGAGTGCCCCTGAGTTCAATCCCTGGTACCCCCCACCCCCCAAAAAATCATGTCCTCTTCAAATAGAGGTAGTTTTAATTCTTCTATTCAATATGACTGATTTTTTAATTTCATATTAATATCTTATTATCCTAGCTAAACTTTCTGGTACAATGCTGAATAGGAATGGCAAGAGCCAGGCATACTGGCACACACCTGTAATCCTAATGACTTGGCAGACTGAGGCAGAAGAATCAGAAGTTCAAGGCCAACCTGGACAACTTAGCAAGACCCTAGCTCAGTTGGTAGAGTGCATGCCTCCCATGCACAATGCCCTGAGTTCAATCCCTGCACAATAAATAAATAAATAAATAATAACTATAAAAGGGCTAGGAATGTAGTTCAGTGTTAAGAGCATCCCAGATCTAATCCCCGATGCTGGGGAGATGGGGGTAGAAGGAGTGGTGAGCGGCTTACTTAGACTAAAATTGAAACAGTGGCACTGATAGATTAGATGGTCCTTGTGCAAGGATGACAGGCAAATTTATGAAATGTTCCATATTTTTAATGATATTGTACAAATTGTATTGCTATAGTGTATGCCTGTTCGGATACATCACACAAATCCCACCTCTGTGTACACCCATAATGCAACAATATGAGGTGGGGGAGAAGTGGCAAGAGCAGGCACTCTCTGCTGTGTTCCTGAATTTAGGAGGAAAGCTTTTTTCTTTTACCACTAGGTATAATGTTAACCTGTGGGTTTTTTGTTGTTGTTGAAGTACTATATCAGATGAAGAATTTGCTCTTTTTTTTGTTGTTGTTTTTTGGTACTAGGGATTGAACTCAGGGGCCCTTGACCACTAAGCCACACTCCCAGCCCTTTTTTTTTTTTTTTGTAGTTTATTTAAAGACAGGGTCTCACTGAGTTGCTTAGTGCCTTGCCATTGCTGAGGCTGGCTTTGAACTGGTGATACTTTGGCCTCAGCCTCCCAAACCACTGGTATTTTAGGTGTGTGCCACTGCTCCCGGCTTCCTATTTCTATTTTGCACGATGTTTTTTTTTTTTTTTTAATCATGAAAAAGTTGGTTATGTGGTTGGGGGACCCTGGGGATTGAACCTAGGAGTGCTCTATCACTGAACTCCCCCACCTGCATCCTTTTTTAAAATTTTATTTTGAGATAGGGTCTCACTGAATTGTTGAGGCTGGCCTCAGACTTTCAATCCTCCTGCCTCAGCCTCCTGAGTAGCTACAATTAAAGACGTGTGCTACTGCAGCCAGCTAGAATATTGGGTTTTGTCAAATCCTCTCCTGCCCTGCCACAATCTGTTGAGATGATCATGTGGTTCTTCCTTTGTTCTGAGTAGGACAAGAAATTTAGAAATAAACAAGATGCATATGCAAATTTAGTATATCATAAAGGTGCATCTTAAGTCAGTAGGGAAATACTTAAATTTTAGTGAATGGGTAGTTATTTGGGAAAAGATAAAATATTTATAAGCTGGGTGTGGTGCACATCTGTAATCCTAGCTGGCTTCGAAGGCTGAGACAGGAGGATCACAAGTTCAAAGCTAGCCTCAGCAAAAGTGAGCGCTGGGCTGGGGATGTGGCTCAAGCGGTAGCGAGCTCGCCTGGTGTGCATGCGGCCCGGGTTCGATCCTCAGCACCACGTACAAAGATGTTGTGTCTGCTGATAACTGAAAAATAAATATTGAAATTCTCTCTCTCTTTAAAAAAAAAAAAGTGAGGTGCTAAGAAATTCAATGAGACCCTGTCTCTAAATAAAATCCAAAATAGGGCTGGGGATGTGGCTCAGTGGCTGAAGGACCCTAAGCTCAATCCCCAGTAACCCCCACCCCCCCAAAAAAATTTTATAGACCAGAGTTCTAAATGTAAAAAGTGAAAGCTTCAAAGTAATTATGTAGTTGGACAAAGGAAAGTTTCTTTTGGTACCATGTTCTATAGAGGAGACCTTCAGAAGCCAAAGTGACCACAGGGCAGGGGGTAGGGGTGGGGTGTTCACAGAGTCAAATTCTTGCAATTCCCCAAAAAAGATTTTTCTTCTTTATCTCCAAAGGCATAGACTGGTTTATTTAGGTTGAGGGAAAGTAGGGGCAATCTAGAGAGAGAAAGAGTAAAACATAGGGAATACCCATTCAAGGGAGAATATAGAGTATCTCCAGAAGGAAGACAGCCCCACGTGGAGGATTTCTTTCTTTCTTTCTTTCTTTTTTAAAGAGAGAGAGAGAAAATTCTTAATATTTACTTTTTAGTTTTCGGCGGACACAACGTCTTTGTTTGTATGTGGTACTGAGGATCGAACCTGGGCCGCACGCATGCCAGGAGAGCGCGCTACCGCTTGAGCCACATCCCCAGCCCACACGTGGAGGATTTCAAGCAATTTGTACAGAGTAACAGGCAGGAGTTTATTGGAGTGAGATAAAGATGCACAGTATAGGGACCTAATGGGGCAGAGCAGCTCTGAGAGAGGACAGCACAGCTCTTAGAGAGTCTGGGCTTTAGGAATTAGGTCCCTTTGTTCTTACCTTAGTTTCTTATACCCTCTTAAATAGTCTGTTGGCCTTGGTATAACCCTCAGCAGGTTCTCATTGTGAGGGTTGTGATGACTTAGTCACAAGGGATGGCCGTGATATGGTTTCAGTGATGGTCATGAGAGAGTTGTGACATGGTCTTGAAACAACAGTTCTTTTAAGGGGTTATAATTAATTGTGGCTGGAGGAGGTCTGACATAACAGTTCCCATTTTTCTAATAGGAAGTGCCCAACCAGTGACCTATACCCTCAGCCCATTTTCTTTTTTATTTTGAGACAGGGTCTCCCTAAACTGCTCAGGGTGGCCTTGAACTTGCCATTCTCCTGCCTTATCCCCTCAAGCAGCTAGAATCGCAGGTATGTGTCACTTCTGGTTAGGGGAAGCTTCTCTTTGTGCTGAATCACTGTTGTCAAGTACAGTCCCCATAATCTCCTCCAGTTGGTCAATAGAAGAACTTGCATATAATAACAAGACAAGGAACTGCAGCCATTATACTGTGAAGATCTTCATGGTTAAATGCCAATGAGTTTGTCCTCATTCTCTTCTGTTCCATATCCAATTTCCCTTTTACAGACAGCTTCTGGTCTTTCACCAAATGCTTGGCTGTGATCACACAGAGACACCAGCTCTCCCTGCATAGCCCACTTCAGCTTCACAGACTGGTGGGTTGGTGTACTTTAATATTTATTTTTTTTAGTTTTCGGTGGACACAACATCTTTATTTTATTTTTATGTGGTGCTGAGGATCGAACCCAGCGCCCCGCGCGTGCCAGGCAAGCGAGCTACCACTTGAGTCACATCCCCAGCCCCGTTGGTGTACTTCTGATCCTCAAACTCCTCATTTCGGACCTTTACTTCTCAAGCTCCTTCCACAAGTACATGAAGTTGAATTCCAATAATCTCCTAGCTCGTGGCATTTCTGTTGCTGTAATTAAACCCAGACTGGCCTGGAAATGGGGTGTCAGCCTTGAGGGGTGGGTGTGGAAAGGACAATGAAACCTCAAAAACTGGTTTGGGAGCTGGGTGCCAGGGCACATACCTATAATCACAGCGACTTGGGAGACTGAGACAGGATGATTACAAGTTCAAGGTCAGCCTGATTTAGAGAGACCCTATCTCAAAATAAAGAAGAAGACAGACCAGAATTACACAGAATACAATTTATTGGGAGACTTACTGACAGAAACATGATCCTGGGCAGCAGCAAGACTAGTTGGAGTCCAACAATTTGAGTCAGGAAGAGGGACATATATATTGATTAAGACAAAAAGTGACTTCATCCCAGACAGAATGTACTTGGTTTATCCTAAGTTGATATCAAAGTCAGGCACATTCCTGGTGCCAGGGTCCAGTTGTAAAGCTCTAAATGATACTCCATTGGCTTTATTTATTTTTAATTGGCTGGAAAACTATTCAGCAAAAACCAACTAGAGTTTCTTTGGGGACAGCCATGTGGTTATGGCTCAAGATGGCTGCAATCATGTCAAGATAAACCCATACAGAAATAAAGAGGGCTGTGGATATCTGAAGCAGTTAGAGAAAATGCTACTCATCACTGCTCTGTGACACCTGGTGTGTGCAGTTTACTCCTGTTGTCTCGACACCGTCAAATGTAGCCCTCTTTTCACTCTCAAAAGTCCCCTGAATGGGAATCTGTCAGCAAGAGAGCTCTGTTGGTTCTGTTGGTGGTGGCATTTGGTACTGCTGCTTGTCCTGAGTCAACAGAAATTCCAGAGGAGAAACAGATGTGGGTGAAATGAGGTAAGTGAAATCCTGACTTGTACTTATTTGGAAAGCCTCCCTCAGACTCGGTTTCTTCATCTGTAAGATGGGTATAATTGCTACTTCCTGGGGTTATCCTAAGGACCAAATGAGATTATCTATACTCAGGATGTAAGGAATGGAATTCTTTTGTTTTTTAAATGAACTATTTTCAAACTACATCAGAAGAACTCCAGTACCACCTGCTGGGAGTCCAATATTACACTGTAGTGCAGGGGAGCCCTCTCTCCCTTCTGTATCATCCCCGAACTTCCAGGCTCACACAGGCTTGAGAAGGTCACAGACAATTGAGAGGGACCAAAGAGACTCATCCACCAGTTTGATGTGTTCACTTCAGGTGGATCCTGATTTGAACCAATCAACTATAAAAACATATTCATGTGCCGGATGCAGTGGCACACACCTGTAATCCCAGTGGTTCGGGAGGTTGAGGCAGGAGGATCACAAGTTCAAAACCAGCCACAACAACTTAGTGAGACGCTATCTCTAAATACATATATTTTTAAAAAGGGCTGGGAATGTAGCTCTGTGGTTGACCACCCCTCAGGTTCAATCCTGGTCCCAAAGTAGTAGTAATAATAATAATAATAATATTAGGAAATTGAATTATGAATGATTGGGTATTAAAGGACACCAGGGTGTGATAATGGTTTGCCTGTGCAGGTATCTAACTTGACCATGACTATAACCATGTTGGTCATAACCACCATTTTGCCAATCTGGTGACCCTGGCATGAAAAAAAGACAAAGAGAGAAAGAAAAGATCCAAGTGTATTGTGCCAGCAAGCCACTGATGCCCAGGCAGTTCGGTTGTGTTGCTGTTGTTTATTTTCTGGTGAATTCGGGGCCTCTTTCATATTAGACAAGCACTCTACCAGAGTTACATCTCCAGGCCACAGTAATAGTTTTGAGAAACTCCAGGTGCATTGCCATTGGCCATAGCCTACCTTTGTCTAGCTTAGCATATACAACCCTTCCACCCGCCATGGGGTGCTAGAATTCATCTGTCTTGCTACTGCCCAAAACATGCTTTTGTTCATAAATCAGACCATGGCTGCCCAGCTCTGCCATGTAAGGCCACACACACTCCTATAGGGGATTATGTCACCAGCCAGTACGAGCTTTCAGCAGATGATGGTTCTACATGCAGTATCTGCTTCAATCAGTCCTTCACCAATCCCTAAGGGATTGCTGGAACAGGAGTGTAGTCTGAACTGGCTCCAGCATCT